CAAATGTCATTCCCTCTGGGGGCCATTTTTTCTTTCAGACTACCACACCCTGGAACTGGGGATACAGACATCTGTGAGCTGCTGTATGGGCGCTGGGAATTGAACCAGGACTTCTGAAGGGGCAGCCAGATGCTTTTAACTGCTGAGCCATCTCTCCAGCCCTGAGTTCCTAGAACTCTTAATTCTTTGGAGAAATCTGCCAGTCCCTGCTTAATACTGCCCTACCCTCCCATGTCGCTTGGTAGAAGTATGGGGAAAAAGTTAACACGACGTTAAACACTCTCTGATGGTGGACCTTGGGATGAAGACATAGGAGAAAGGGCAAGGAGAGCAAGCCTGGCAATAACACGCGGTGGTACAACCGCTTCCATTCCAATCTAGCTGTTCCTAGCCTTTTTGACCCTTGACATCTTTGCACGTCAGCCTCCTTGCCTCGAGAATGGGTGATCTTGAATCTCATCCATACTTCAAGGTTGGGGCTGGCTGGGATTACAAGTGTGTGCTAAAGAAACCTGCTTTCTGAGGGGGATGGAAGGAGATGGAGCTGCTTTCCCAGGGGCAGCTTGTCTTGGCTGACGTAGGACATCCTTACTGGAGCACCGGCTTCTCTTCGCCTGTGGCCCTGTGGTGCTTGAGGTCACCATGTGGTTCAGATGCTGCCATCCTCTTCTGGCGCAATAGCCTCTGATTTCCACAGCATCTGGAAGTGGCAGCCTGGGGGTTCTGTCTACGGGGCACGGGACTCTCCGTTCCCAGGCACACACCTTTCGGCTGTCTTTCCTAGTGCCACCATCCAGTTCCTTGCCCGTTCTGTCTTTGATCTTTGGACCCAGAAGAGATAAACTGGCCCATTGAGGAGCCAAGAAACCCAAGGCATTGGTTCCCAACTCTGGGTCCCACCATGGGCTTCACTGCATCCCCAGGAAGAACCACAGTGACTGTTACCCTCCGGGAGGCAGGGACTGAGGTGCAGGTGCAATAGCTTTTGTCAGCTCTGTCTATCCCTGCATCAGGATCCCTGGGGACCCCTTTTATTGCTTCCAGGAAGGTGCACAAGGCTTTTGCCCCCAGCTTAGGATGACCTTGACCCTCTCCTGCTGCTTGAAGGTTAGGAAAAGAAAGCAAGTGAGGATAGTAAGTTTACCAGATCTGGAGAGGGCCCGAGGATGTAGTTCGGCCCCAGCAGAGAATGAAGCTGGATGTGCTAGTAGTGCTGGTTTGTAACCCCAGCAGAAGTTCAAGGCCATCCTCTGCTAAGTCAGTGAATTTGAGAACCGCCTGGGATACATTAGAACTTATTACTTTAAAAAAAAATCCAGAGAAAACCTATTGGTCCTCAATATACCAACATATTGTAAACACCTGAGCCGCTTATTAGCTGGGAGTGCCAGAATGTCATTGCCAGGGAGGCCCAGCCTGGCACCAGTCCAGTCCGTGGTTCCTCTCTCCACAGTTCTGAAAGGGTGAATCTCACCAACCCCTTGCCCATCGGAGGCCTCAGTTATGTTCAGGGCCACACCAGTTCCCACCTTGTCAACTCAACTGTGGGTGAGTGCCTGGATGCCACAGCACAGAGGTTCCCCGACAGAGAGGCCTTGGTAATCCTCCATGAAAACATCAGGCTGAACTTTGCACAGCTCAAGGAGGAGGTGAGTACTGACCTTGAACCTTCCAAGAGCGGTTGCTGGTCCCTGGCTGTTAGAGCTGTAGAGTGGGCACATGCCCGTGTGGCAGTGTGCTGGGGCTTCCTGAGGGCCCCATTGTTGGCATTAGGAGACAGAGGCGGAAGTGACCTGGATACCTCCTGTCCCAGGGGCTCCTGGGATATTTGTCTCTTACGTTGACATCCTACCTTCATTGCCTTGAGTCCACCAAGGCCTGGCAATCCATTTGTTCTTGGTGACTCCTGGGCTAAGATAGAGGGTGGGTGTCAGGGGACCCTGCTTGTTCTCACCTCACCTGTTGTTCCCCCTCTGTCTGTACCAGGTGGACAAAGCTGCTTCTGGTCTCCTGAGCATTGGTCTCCGCAGGGGTGATCGTCTGGGCATGTGGGGACCCAACTCCTATGCCTGGGTGCTTATTCAGCTGGCCACTGCCCAGGCAGGCATCATCCTGGTGAGAAGGGGTTTACCTGGCACAACTGGGCATGTGGAGGGATGTCATTCAAGGGGAAACCTCTTAGATACAGAACCAAACCTCTGTCTGTTTGGCTTCTGGTTTGGTGTCACTCGAGGTTCACCAAAGAGCCCTGGCAGAGTGTAGATGCCGCCTTGCCCTTTCTGAGGGGAGCAGTGAGAGAATGGGGTGTCTTCCTAGGACACTGACACGCCTCTTTGTTCCTGCAGGTGTCTGTGAACCCAGCCTACCAGTCCACAGAACTGGAATATGTCCTTCGAAAGGTACCGCTTGCTCCTGGTGGGGAAGGGTGTTTCTCATGAGGTTTTATAGAGGTTGATGGGATGAGAAAGGGCGTGCTCAGTGGATAACATCACCGAGTGTCTCTCCTCAGGCTCCACATGGTTGGGAGGAGGTTTTGGCTGCACAGAGAGGGTGTGGGTCATTCATAAGGCTGATGTGGGTGTTGGGGGTGGACTGTGTGGGTCGGGGTAGTGTGTGTGTGTTGCTACATGGGTGTGTCAGGATAGCTATTGAGGTATATGAGAAAGAGCGCAAGACATTAGTGAGGCCTTCTAAGTCTGGGGCTTCCTGTTGATCACAGGTAGGGGAACTTTTTTCCCACAGGTAGGCTGCAAAGCCATTGTGTTCCCTAAGCAATTCAAAACCCAGCAATACTACGACATCCTGAAACATATCTGTCCCGAGCTGGAAAAGGCCCAGCCAGGGGCCTTGAAGAGTAAAAGGTGGGTATATCCTGGGTTTGGGGGATATCAAGTGACATCTCAGACTCCTACCTCCTACCAAAGGTGGAGTTGATGTCTTCCTGGGCTATCTTCCAGCCACTTGTCCCCTCTGTCTCCCTCTGTCTCCCAGGCTCCCAGATCTGACCACAGTCATCTCAGCGGATGCTGCTTTGCCAGGGACCCTGCTTCTGGATGACGTGGTGGCAGCCGGAAGCAAGGAGCAGAATCTGACTCAGCTGCGCTACCACCAGCAATTCTTGTCCTGTTACGATCCCATCAACATCCAGTTTACCTCGGTAAGACGGTGGTCTCCAGTCCCAAGCCTAGTTGAAACCTGTGCCCTGCCTGTGTGGCCTCTCAGATGGGGAGATGGGAGAGAAAGTCAGGAGAGCAACACTCTCTCCTGATTCTGGCTTCCAGCCTTCCTCTCTGCCTCTGGAAATCAACTGGTGTTTTTGTTACCTGCCCCTTCTGGGTCCTGTTGCTTCCAGAACAGAAAAGAGTGTCCAAGGCTTGGAGAGGCAGAGTTCGTGGAACCCATCCAGGGGAATCAGGCTCAGAGAGGGAGCTTCTCCAAATCTGCGCAGCTAATTAATGTCAGAACCCGCTAAGCCACCTTATATGACATATAATCAGGACAAAGCCAGCGGTGTTGTGTTCTCTTTTGCATTTCTGCATTCTAACATCTGGCCCTGCACAGTTCACTGTGCATAAACAAATGGAAGAGTTGGATTCAGGACAATCATATCCTACTCTTAATGACTCAGCCCCTCTGGCTCCTCTGAGCAGTGGCCAAGGATAGGAAAGAAACACGGTGAAAAAGGCCAAGCTGTCACCTGCTTATCTTCTTAGGGGACTACTGGCAGCCCCAAGGGGGCCACTCTTTCCCACCACAACATTGTAAACAATGCCGTCCTGATTGGCCAGCGTCTGAAGATGCCCACAAAGGTGAGGTGGGGATGGGCGCTGAGCAGGTTTATACAGGCTGCCCGGAGCAGCTGGGCAAGGAATGGGGCAGCTTGCAGGGCTCCCCCTGCTGGTTGGAAGAACTGACTGCATGATAGACCCAGCCCCTGTCTCCATCTCCAGAATGCAGAAGAGTTGCGGTTGGTGCTGCCCAGCCCCCTGTACCACTGCCTGGGCTCCGTGGGGGGCACAATGGTGTCTGTAGTGCACGGTGCCACCCTTCTCCTGTCTTCTCCAAGCTTCAATGGCAAGAAGGCGCTGGAAGCCATCAGCCGAGAGAAGTGGGCATTGGTGGACAAGCCACCTGTGGGCTAATGAGATCCTCCAAATCCTCACTCCTGAACCTGCTCCCCTTTTCTGAGATGCTTTCTTCCTCCAGCCAGGAGACCTTGGGGGGAGGGGTTAGAGAACCAAGTCCCACCTTGAACTTCTTCCTGTTCCTCACAACTTTGATCTGTACTGAGAGTTCATGGTGGAGAGGGAAGGGGTTTCCTCTCACTTCTAAACCTAATCTCGAGAGCTTCCCTTGTGCAGAGGCACCCTCCTGTATGGCACCCCCACGATGTTTGTGGATGTTCTGAATCAGCCGGACTTCTCCAGTTACGACTGCTCATCTCTGCGTGGAGGTGAGGTGCAGGGCAGTCGAAGGCATCGACGCTTGGGGTAGCTTTGCTTCCCTGACCCTGCTGAGGCCAGTTTTTTATGTAGGAGGCAGAAGGGGGGGGGCACTGCAGAAACCTGGGTGAGAGGAGGGTAACTCCCAAGTGTCCCCAGATGCTGGGCTAACCTCCACTTTTATGTATTGTACGAAGAAACGTGTTAGCTTCTCTTCTATTTGTCTGTGATACTGAGGATTGAACCCAGGGCCTCCTGCATGCCAGGCAGGTGTTCTATGACAGAACTGTATACTGGCCCTTTACTGACTGCTTTTGAGACAGGAGCTCACCAAGCTACCCAAGCTGTCCTTGAACTCACTCTGTATCCTAGTCAGACTCTGAGAACTTGCATTTCTCCTGCCTCAGCCTCCCAGGTTGCTGGCATTACAGGCCTGGACCACCAATCCCATCATCCTTTCTTCCTGATCCAGGTGTGATTGCTGGGTCCCCAGCACCCCCCGAGTTGATCCGAGCCATCATCCGCAGGATGAAGATGGAGGAACTGGTGGTGAGTGATTGTCAGAGCCAGGGTACTACGCTTGACCTGTAGTGAGTAGGGACTGGCGAGCTAGATCAGAAAGCCGAAAGGTCAACCTCCAGGTATTCCCTGCTTCCTGGAGCAGAACTCAGGCAAAACTGTGCGCTTATTACCTAACACCTGGTGAGGTGTAGGGAACGGTGAGAGGGAAGTGAATGTTAGACACACATAAATTTATGTTTATGGAAGTCTGGGGCTGAAAGGCAGCATGGAGGATGTGCAGCCAAGCACTGGTATCCTGTTAGCACGTCCTGGCAGGCTGGGACTGGGGACAGGGGCTTGAAATCCTTTCTGGCAATACGGGTGGGACAAGGGCCTGATGTTTGTTTCCAAATGGCCGGGAAGGAGGGAACTGAGGACGGTGGTTAGAGGCGTGTGGCCTTCCCAGTGACCACTGCATTTTGGCTCTGACGGACTCAGAGCAATAGCTTCTTTGAGAGGAGCCATGGCAGGGTCCAGACACAGTGACTGGGGGGAGGCTCCGTGTCCTCCCTTGGACCCCCATTAGGTGGAGCTGGGGTGGTAACAGAGAGTCCAGTGCCCCCTGCCAGGATGTGTCTAAGTGTGGGCAGCTCTGTGCACCAGCAGAGGCTGTGGGAGAAGGTATGCATGGTAGGGGGGAGTCAGTAGTCACTCCAGCAGAAGGCAGTCACCAGGACTGGCTGGGACGGGACCTGCAGTGAGGGAAGGATGGTTGTTAGGTCTTCAGTCACCCCGACGGCATCAGAGAGAATGGCGGAAGTCCTAGGCCAACCCCTTGGAGGGGGAGACCCAGTCCTCCCCTCCTTTTCCTGTAAGCAGAGGATCTGATCACCCCTCCAGAGATGACATGATGGGAGACAACAGCACCCTGGCTAGAATCTCCAAAGGCAGACAATGGTGGCCTCCCTGCCCGGCCCCCACCTGTTTAGTGTCGGCCAGCTTTCTTGGACCTCTTGGTGGGGGATTTGCAGCTGCGGAGGGCATCTGTGTCACGGATACGCTGACCCTTGAACTTGGCTGGGGAGGAGCAGGTAGCATCTGGTCGAGAAGTCTTGGCTTCTAACCACCTGCAGAGACAAAGAATCGCGGGGCTTAGGGAAGCTGGGTGGGAATGCTTGGGGAAGGGACAGTGACCAGGATGCATCGGGCCCCAGAAAAATCCGAAACTGTCATCTTCTTTTGACAAGTGGGAAAACTGAGCCTCTCAGTCCCAGACCTACCAGGTAGCCATCCAGCTTGCCTTACTGCGAGAACCTCGTGTGAACGAGAAACTGGGGTTATACGAAAGAATATGCTCACCGCCGAAGGCCGCGGAGCTGGCAGGTGCATTTCCATGGGTTGTTGGTGAGAGTGAGGGTTTCCAGGTTGTCAAAGGGGAAGGTGGAGGGCAATTGGTTCAGGCGATTGTTCTCTAAGTGGACGTGTTTCAGTGTGGTCACACCCAGGAAGGCGCCATCTGAGAACTGGGGGGGGGGGGATAAGGAAGGCAGAAGCGAGAGAATCTCAATTCCAGTGTCCAGGGTTTCCTAGTCCTCCCCTCAGAGGCCAGCGGCTAGGACACAAGCCCTCGCCTGTTGAGAAGCGGCTATTTTCCAAGCAGAATGACCAAGTTGTCTAGATGATGTAATCCACCACACCTTTTTTTGAGATGGAAGGTGTCCTTTCCAATATGAAGGTGGAAAATGTCCAGTCCTTTGGCCAGGGTCACCTAGCCAGTAAACAGTAGCTGCAGGACCACACCCTGCCCTCCACCTCCCTGCACAAACATGAGTCTGTGGAGCAGCCAGAGCTTGGCTTGGAGAGCCCAGACTGGCACACGGTGAACCTGGTCAGTGTTTGGTGGGATGGGCAGTGAGCCCAGGCTCCCCACATCCCTAGGGTCCCAGGATTTCCCCCAATACTGTCCTCATTGCTCCTCTGCCCTCTGCCAGATGCTATTTATGTTTACCTTGGTGGGAACGTTGGCCAGGATGGACAGTTCCAGAGGAAATGTATTGGTGCCCTCATCGGAGCCCTGGTGTCACAGGTCCTGTCTGGGCTCCCCATTCTAAATCAGCCCCCATATGTTGTTCTACTGCCCCCCACTCCGGCACTAGGGTGGTCTACCTTCAGCTGGAGTGAGGCCAGGCTGAAGAAGACCCACCCAGAAGGCTCTGTCTATCCAGACAAGGTTGGCTTCTGCCCAGGTTAGCTTCTACCCTCAGCCCCCTGTCTGTGACCTCTCTCATGGTCCAGGTTGGGATATGACAAAACTGTCCTCTTTCTTGTTCTGGTCCCTGCCCAGACCTCCTGACTGAAACTGTGTGTCAGAGTGATTTTTCTAGTTCCAAGAAAGGGGTTCTGCTCCTGCATAGCCCCAGCTGGCCAGACTGATCCAGGAAGGACTGAAGAGGGGGCAGGGGTCTAATGACAAAAGTCAACAGGCTGCCTGGGGGCAGGGGGCAGTGAGAAGGTCTGTTCTGTGAGGAGACTTTGGGGACTTGTGCTGAGGATCACGTGTTCCTTCACCGGCCCCTTGAGCATCAAACCTGCATCTTGGTGGAGCATTGGTCTCGATGTCTTGGTTTTCCTACTCAGTTGAAATGGACCTGAGGTTGAGTAAAACTGGGTGTTTGAACCCACAGAGGTGATGGGGGCATCCATCAGGGTTACTGAGGGTCTGGAAGAAGTCTCCTAAAGGCATTTGCTCCCCCCCCCATATAACCTTCAACACCTCATTTTACCTTAGCACATTGGCCAGCCCCCACCAGAAACAGGGTCTCTTTGTGAATCTGAGTCACTCAAGCCTCTCTGTAAGGTGCCTCAGCAGACAAACCTTCCTTTATGGGATGGCAGGCTTCCTGGAGACTGGGAAGAGGGCAGAGGAGGGGGTGGAAAACTCAACAGGAAGAGGTGCTTACTGCTCACTGTGGGGTTTGGGGCAGAGGCCCTTTGTGAGACCAGAACAGCCCGTCTCTTATAAGGACGAGTCCAGAGAGAGTATTGCTGAGAAGCATAGTGACCAGGTGAGGGAGAGAGGGATGGGGTGATATGTCAAAGCCTGAGAGTGTGGTGGCAGGGCTCCTTGCTTTGGTGATAATCAGGGGGCTAGGAGTCCAGGACAGGGAGGGACTAGGTTGGCCTCCCAGCAGAGAGGAGCCAGGAGAACTCTGCGGCCAGGGCACTCACCTTCTCCAGGTTGGTGTTGTCTAGCCAGAGTGTCTCCAGGTATCTGCCGAAGGACTGGAAGGCATTGTCTGGAATGCTCTTCAGGGGGTTGTGGGATAGCTTTAGCTCCTCCACCACCCGAAGTTTGCTCATGGCAGCGGAGGGGTAGCTGGAAAGCTGGTTCTTGTCCAGGTGGAACTTGGCGAGGTTCTCCACATCGTCCAGGGCCCCAGGCTGCAGGGAACTGAGGGCATTTTCCGACAGGTAGAGCCAGCGCAGGTCCTTGGCACCCTGGAAGGCTCCAGCCCGCAGCTCTCGGATTTTATTGTTGTTGAGCTGTAAGATGAAGAGGTTGACCAGAGGGGAGAGCAGCCCCCTGGGCAGCTCTGACACTTTGTTGTGGTCTAGATAGAGGTAAGTGAGTTCAGTCAGGTCGTCGAAGGCTCCGGCTCGCAGCACCCGGATGTCATTGTGGGACAGGTACAGGTAGATGAGCTGCTTCAGGCCTCGGAAGGCACCAGCCGCCACCTCCCGGATGTTGCAGTGTTGCAGGTGCAGGGAGACCAGGTTCGGCATGGTCCGAAACGAGTTGGCAGCCAGCACTGGGAAGTTGTTGCGCTGGAGGTTGAGCAGTTTGGTTGTCTCTGACACCTTGGGGATCTTCTGCAACCCCACCTTGTCACAGATGACATGCTGCAGGTCGCCATGGCAGTGGCAGTTCTGGGGGCAGGCAGCCAGCGCCGGCAGGAGAATGGCAAATAGGACCAGTCTGAGTAAGAGCACGCGGGCCATGGCCGGGACGCCTGGAGCCAGGGCTGGGGGCTGCGGCTGCGGGGCGCTGGCAGCAGCAAGTCCTCGATTCTTGTGTCTACCGGCCCATTTATAGGGCCGCCCTGACCGCATTTGGCAGGGGAGCCAGCTAATACGTGGAGCATCGGAGCCACTGATTTAACCCCCTCCCGCCCAGAAATGAGCCCCTGTCCTCGACGGCTAGGGGCTCTTTCCACAGCAGGTGACCATGCGTAGGGTTGGGGACCTTTCCCCTGAACCCCAGCCCCTTGCTTCCTCCTCGCAAACTCTATGCTGCACCTCTCTCTGTTCTCCTCTACCTGGACCCCCACCCTGGGGGTGGGATAATAGGTGTGTTGAGGACCTCTGAATTTCCACTGGGCAGAGGGAGGCGTTCCCAGAACTTATTTATTTGCTCAAGTTTGAGTCTCCACGTCCCCTTCCCCCCTACACCCTTGGCAGACAGGTCACCCTGGATTCGGGGCGGGAGGAAGTGGGGCCCCGACAGCCGGATGCGTCTCACCGCGGTCAGCCAGCCAGCGGCGCTTTAATGGGTCTGTTGTGCCCAGCAGGCGAAGCGTGAGAGCCGCTGTGGGTCTGGCTCCAGATTCTGGGTAGACCCTTCTCAGTTCACCCCAAGGAGATGAGAGAGCTGGTTGATGATGCTGGTTAGCAATGGTGCCTTTGCCCCCGTCCCTTCTCCGAGCCGTGGCACCCACGAATATGGGCTTTCCCATGACCCCTCTCTATCAGTTCTGGGCTTCTCATTCTGCGCTTTGCACCCGCATTTCCCTTTTCTGGGGTTGAAAGCTAAATGGAAAAGTGGGAACTGTTGTGTGTGAGGGGGAGGTGGGGTAGTGAACCGCAGGACTGGCAGCACACCTGGAGACCACAGGCCACTGAACAAGCACAGTTGCACATCCCCCCTCCTTAATCTCCCCCAAATATCCCCATCTCTGGATCCTCCTCTCCTCCGCGGTTAGGACCCACCCCTAAGGGGGTCTCAGAGTGGCGGCCTAGTGGCGCCAACGTGTACTTGGCAGAGGCCAGACGTGGGCAATGACCCCAGGGCTGTGTGAGCTGGTGGGAGGTGGGGGGGGGGGCGGCTGGCTACAGGCGACCAACCCGGGCCAGATGCTGGGTTGTGGGCAGTCCCGCCCTAGTGGACCTGGCTTCTGTTCACTTGCCAGCTACAGTGTCTGGAGCCCTGTGGAGAAGGGAGGGTGAGCAGGCAGGTTACAGCTTTGGCCCAGGGTGAGCTCTGAGTTGCCTGGCAAGAGATGCTGTCTGTTGGGGAGGTGGGGGAGGAACCATGCCCCAACTATGCCAGAGCCACACCACCTGATACACAGGAATGGAGGCCACCAAGAAAGACCTGATAGAGTCCAAGGTATCTAGACCTCATGACACCCAATACATAGTTGTGGGGGTTTGGTCCCCAGGCCTGCTCTTCCCCATACCCCTCTGACCCTCTGCCTCTAGAATTGGGGGTGTGGGGGTCATTCTTGGCCTAGAGGATTCTCTGATGGTATTTAGGCTGGCTGCTAGTTCTTCTGTTGCACAGGATGTTCTGACCACTGGAGCTGCCACAGGCCTTTTAAATTCCTGCTCTGGCTGTATTTTTTGTTTTGATGAAAATAAATGCATAGGAAAGTCTCCAGAGCTTGCGGGGCACCCACCCTAACACTTGCCCCAGGTTGGAGGGGAATTGTGTCTGCGTACCACGCCCAGCTAGATCAAGCAAGGCAGGCTGGCTTTCTCATCAAGTTTATGGGGCCTTTGGCTAGAGGAGGAGGAGGAGGACAGAGGATGTTGTGGCCTGAAATCAAGAAGGTAGGGTTGAATCAACCTGGAGATGGGAGGAAAGAAGTATGGGTACTGGTGATGCCAGAAGCCACAGGCGCCACAGGGGAGTGACCGAACCCCTGGCCATCAGAGACTGGCTTCATTCTCGGTTTTGTTGCGGATCAGGGGCTTTTGCAGAGATCTGCTCTTCTGGCTCCTGACCTCTGCCTCTAGTCCCCTCATCCCAGTTGTCACCGTTCAGCTAACTAGGGTAGGTCATCACTGCCACTCAGTCCCCTCCAAGCAGTCTTTTTGACCCCCCCTAGGTTGTTTATGGAACCACGGAGAACAGTCCTGTGACCTTCATGAACTACCCCGAGGACACCCTGGAGAAGAAGGCTGAGAGTGTGGGCCGAGTTATGCCTCACACGGAGGTGAGCCCCTGACAGATGCCCTCAGAGCCCACCTCACACCGCTTGAGAACAGCTGGGGCTTTCCATCAGACATCCACACAGCTCACTCAAATATAGAGGGCCCCAGCAACGGGGGCTTGCTGGACCTGGCCCGGCTTTGTGGGTTGAAGCAAGGAAGGGGAAGAGCTGGAACAGCAGCCCTGAGCAGCCGCCAGCTGAACCTCTCCTCAGCCACCCTTCCTGTCTGAGGTGTGTTTTTGCCAAGCCCACTGTCTGTCTTGGGGCAGCTAGACCAGTCTCAAAAACGAGCCAGAACAGAGATTTTTTTTTTCCTTACACAGCTCTTTCTTCCCCCAGGCCCCTGCCTCTTGCTCTTCTTTTGTCTAAGCCTAAATTCTTCTTTTCCCAAGCTATCTGTCCCTTGAAGGTCCCTTACACTTCAAAGGCCCCAGGATACTCCCCAGTCTCAGACTCATAGCTATGACTCTTCTCTGGCTTCAATCATGTAACTTTATTCAGATATTACTGAGTTTCTGTGCCTCTTTGGGAGGCACCCTGGGTCTTGTCAGGGAGATATCCTTTTTCTCCATCCCCAAAGTGCAGACATGGAAGTGCCCGGACCCAGTTTTCCTCCATACATTGCCTGTGGCTCTTTGTCTACCAGGATTTCGGCTTCTTCCTCTGCTGACCACATGGCGGAGCCATGCGGTCATCTTCAGTGTCTTTGCCGCCTTGTGGAAAGTGAGGGGGGACAATAGCCTTCCCTTCTACCTAGCTTATAACTCAGCATCTGCCTGGCATCCTTCAGGCCTCCTTCAAGGCTGGCTGCTCCCTACCCAACCCTGTCCTCAGCACCCTGTGTAAACACACACACACACCCTCCCCATGGTCCAGGCCCAATGTGGGTCTCTCCATGGTGACAGGTCTATTGTAGCCTATTTTTCCTTTCCCCCCCGAATGGGATGAGCAGATCCAGCAACTTCATTTCTGGGAGGGTAGGGGGAAAGAAAGCAAAGCTCCCCGCCCCATCCCCAGGGAAGCAAGAGAGTGGGAAGCTCAAGCTGGAAACTGACTTGCTGTCTCAGGCCCAGATCGTGAACTTGGAGACAGGGGAGCTGAGCAAGCTGAACATGCCGGGAGAGCTGTACATACGAGGGTACTGCGTCATGCAGGGCTACTGGGATGAACCACAGAAGACCTTCGAAGCAATCGGACAAGACAAGTGGTATCGGACAGGGTGAGATGGCAAGACCATACGGACATTGTGGCTACCAAGTGGGGCCGGAACCAAACCAGCACATGGAGGACATGGGTTCTCTTGTCCCGGAGACTTGCTTTTCAAAATTTGCCTGGGATTGCAGCTTAGTGGTAGAGCTCTTGGATGCTGTGTGTGAGGTCACAGATTGAACCCCAGTATTGTGGGGGTGTGGTAGGAGAGAAAAAGACACCTCCAAGGCTTACTGAGATGTATCTTAGTTTCTAGTGTCCTTGTTTGGCGCGTTTGAAGTACTGGGTTCAGTCTTCAGCGCCACATGAACTGGCATAAGGCACACGGCTGTAATCCCAGCTCTTGGCAGAGGGCTGGGTCCTCTTTAGCTACGTAGTGAGTTGAGAGCCAGCCTGAGCTACATGAGGCCTTGTGTCCAGTAATGGAAAACAGAATGGATTGTGGATGCAGGTCAGCAGGGAGAGGGCTTGCTTGTCTAGCTTGCGCAGTCCCTGGGCTCTCCCTGTGGGGTCACATCACCCCAGCATGGTAGTGCGTATGTTGGTAACCCTATTGCTTGGGTGGTAGAAGCAAGAGTGTTAGGTGTTCAAGGTCACTCTCACGTGATCCTGTCTCAAAACAAACAGCAACAACAACAAAAAATTTTTCCTAAATCAAAATGTGTGTCGTGGGGGTGGACCTACTTCTCACAGTGATAAGACACCAGGACATCACACGACACTTGTACCCCCAGAATCTGAGTCAGTTTTCAGTGAGTTGTTTATTAATCAAACACAGGGACCTCTACAAAAGCATCCAGAGCTCTTAACATTGAGACATCTCTCCAGTCCCTGCCTCCCTGCCTCCCTGCCTCCCTGCCTCCCTGCCTCCCTGCCTCCCTGCCTCCCTGCCTCCCTGCCTCCCTGCCTCCCTCCCTCCCTCCCTTCCTTCCTTCCTTCCTTCCTTCCTTCCTTCCTTCCTTCCTTCCTCTCTCTCTCCTTTTGTCTGAAACTGAGAACTGAACCCAAGGCCTTGCAAGGCAGGTGCTCTAACTGAGCTAAATCCCCAGCCATGCATGCGTCCTTTATTAGATCCGCACACTCTCAGTACCCACACCTGCCGTGTGCCAGTGCCGTTCTCAACCCGATGGGAAACAAGTTGAGACCGGGCCTGCTTCTTCCCACGTGTCTGGTGCAAGAAGACAGATAATTTCAGACATCAAGAAGTCAAACGGGGTCACAGGAGAGGAAGTGGCTGTGGCGGAGAAAGAGGATTTTCTTAGAGCAGGGTCAGAGAAGGCCACTGGAAACATTTGAGCTGAGATCTAAATGATTAAAAAAGAAGCCATCCATAAAGACAAGCCAATATATAAATAGGAAGGCAGAGAGAACGGGGTAGGTGCTGTACTGACTTTACCCCGCTTCTTCCAGCCTAGGCTATAGGCTTCAAAGGTGTTTTTTGTTCCTGCTGGGACTCCTAGAGTCTAGAGCAGTGGGGAACACACAGTAGATGCTCAGTAAATGTTTGGTGACTGAGTGAAGGCCTGAGCTAGTGGACAAGTCCCATAAAGCAGAGGTGAGGTGCCACTGCTGGGTGTCTCCTTACAGAGACATTGCCACGATGGATGAACAGGGCTTCTGCAAGATCGTAGGCCGCTCTAAGGACATGATCATCCGGGGAGGTGAGAACATCTACCCCGCAGAGCTGGAGGACTTCTTCCACAAACACCCACAGGTGCAAGAAGTGCAGGTGAGGCACCGTGAAGCGGGCACTGGGACCCCGGGATTAGCTGGTGCCTAGGAAGGGGCTCTGCCTTAGGTTTCTATTGCTGTGATGAAACACCATGACCAGAAGCGACTTGGGGAGGAAAGGGCTTATTATGAAATACTATGACCAAAAGCGACTTGGGGAGAAAAAGATTTATTATGAAACACCATGACCCAAAGCGACTTGGGCAGGAAAGGGTTTATTATGAAACACCATGACCAAAAGCAACTTGGGCAGGAAAGGGTTTATTATGAAACACCATGACCAAAAGCGACTTGGGCAGGAAAGGGTTTATTTCGTCTTCTACTGATACATCACAGTCCATCACCAAAGGGAAGTTGGGGCTGGAATTCAAGGCAGGAACCTGGAAGCAGGAACTGAAGGAGTGTTGCTTACTGCCTTGCTCCCCATGGCTTGCTCAGCCTAGGGGTGGCACCGCCCACAATGGGCTGTCCTCTCCCACGTCAATCATCAACCAAGAAAATGCAACATAGGCTTGCCCAAAGGCCAACCTAGGGAGGGCATTTTCCTACTTGAGGTTCCCTCTTTCCAAATGACTCTAGCCTGAGTCAAGCTGACATTAAAAATTAACCAGCCCAGGGTGGCAATGGGTATTTGTCTTTGACCTTGGCTAGGTGGTGGGGGTGAAGGACGATCGGATGGGGGAGGAAATCTGTGCTTGCATCCGGCTGAAGAGTGGGGAGACCACCACAGAGGAGGAGATCAAAGCTTTCTGCAAAGGAAAGGTGGGACCCCCACCCCAACCACCCTCCCTCGCCTACCTCTCCCTGTCAATCAGCCCTGGTAGGGATGTAGGGGTTGTTGCCTGGTGGACCCAGTTCCCCAGCCCAGGGGGCGCTCTGACCTTGCCCAGCCTCACACTTCCCCTCTCTGCTCTGCAGATCTCCCACTTTAAGATTCCCCGATACATCGTGTTCGTGGAAAACTATCCTCTCACCATCTCAGGAAAGGTGTGTAAGGCGGGGGAGACTGAAGAGGGACAGGGCAATGTGGAGTCTGCTGGGCCTCCTTGCAGAAGGCCAACTGGTCCCACCTGTTCCTCCCCCAGTAATGAGCTGGCGGACAGTAGGAGGGTCGGAAAGCCACTTCCTCCTGTTTGTCCTGGGCCTCCTTGGGTTTAGTACTTGCTCCCTTCCCCCACTGTCATTCCCAGGCAGACCAAGGATGACTGGTTACCATGGCACCAGAGCAGCCGACTCTCTTGTCTTTCTTCTAGATCCAGAAATTCAGACTCCGAGAGCAGATGGAGCAACATCTAAAACTGTGACGCAAAGAAGGGGTCCTCCCAGAGCCCCTCAGCCTTCCCACACAACGGAGAACGCTACTGGCCCTTCTCAGCCAGCCCAGGCCCTCCTTAGCCTGCCCAGGCTTCTCTGTCCTCCCACACCAAGGAGGATCCTCCCAGCCCTCCTGGGCTCTTCTGAGCCCTCCTCGTGCCCCTTGTCATCTTTGTGACTTGGCATAAAGAGTTTTCTGTTAGGCCGGTGTCTGGTTGGTGTGCTCTCTGCAGCTCCTGTGGGGTGGAGAAGGGAGAAGGCAGGGAGGGGGCTGGCTCTTCAGACCTTGTCCTGCAGGCCCTTGTCTGTCTATTATCTACTTAATCTAAGCCTCACCCTGTCTCCCTGAAATGTGTGCGTGTGTGTGGTGTATGTACAAGAGTGTTCATATGAGACAGGATCTCACTGTGTGGTCCTGGTGGTACTGCTAATCACTGTGTAGACCAGGTTGGATTTGAACTCACAGAGATCTCATTGTTTCTGCCACTGGAGGGCTGAAATCAAAGTCGTGTACCTCCATGCCTGCCTTCGTTTTTGTCTTTTTTTTTTTTTGGTTTTTTTTCGAGACAGGGTTTCTCTGTGGTTTTGGAGCCTGTCCTGGAACTAGCTCTTGTAGACCAGGCTGGTCTCAAACT